CCGATTTCACCTGCAATAAACAAAAGAGTCAAAGTGTGGCAGTCAGCTTTAAGGACATTTTTGGAAAACCGACAAGTTCTGATTATTGCAATAAATATTTAACATGCCAAGAACAACAAAATGAAGCAGTAATTTACAGTCTAGTAACTAAGCCCCGATACTACAATAAACCCTATCCTGAAATTTATAATTTGGCTTTTCAAAATCTAACTGATAGTTTAAAAAAAAGAGATTTCCACACTTTCATTTGCTCTCCACTCGGCTGTGTTAGGGACCGTATACTTCCACGTCACTTTGCGGCAGAAATAACTAAGTTTCAGCGCAGTACTGGTGCCTTTGTTAAAATTGTAACTCATAATGAAACATCGAAAAATAATCTTAGAAATGGTTTATCATTCCCTGAATTTCGGATACAAATAGTAGATGCCATAAAATTGGAAGCAACTAGGACTCCACCTACCCAGCAAAGCAACTCAGAAAATTCATCTTTATTTCCACAAGTTCCAGCCTTTCCTCAACCTGATGGCAACCATGGTGATCCTGCAACTTCCAACAGCAGCCGTGACCTGCAGCCTGCTCCAAAGTCTCCCAGATCTCCAAAAGTGTGTGGCAAGGGGGGTAATAAAGTCAATTCGGGGAATAGTGCAGTGTCAAGTGAAATGTACGAAGAAAATGAAGCTCAAGGGCCAGAAAAACCTTTTTTAGCTTTAAGTCAGGAAAATGTAATAAAATAGGTAAAGTGAATAATTTTAGTATTTTACATCAAAACATTAGAGGAATCCAGTCTTCACTTGATTCATTGGAGATCACTCTAGATGAGTTGAACCCTAGTATTGTTGTATTGTCGGAGCACAAAATGGTGAGTCCATCGTTGGAGAGACTCAATGTTAATGGGTAGCCTACAATGTTAGTGCTTGTTTTGGCCGTAAAAAAAGTAGGGGGGGTGGGGTCATTGTTTTAACAAAGCCGTACCTTAACTGCAAAGAAATATTAATACCCGAAATTCAAAATCTTATTTCAGAAACAATTTTTGAAATTTGTTTAGTAGAAATTCAAAAAGTTTTGTTTAAAAAAAAAGTTACTTATAATTGGCTGTTATAAAAATCCCATAAAACAAAATGAATCAGAAGTTACACTGCAAAGAAAAATTACTATAAATCTGTTATTAATAATTCAAATAATGTAAATAAAACCACTTGGAAGATTATCAACTCAGAAGTAGGAAATAAAGCAAAGGATATACAAAACATAATTTTAAAATCAAATGACATTGTATGTAGGCTACTGAGCCTTCTTTGGTTTGTAACCAATTTAATAATTATTTTGCAGATTTAATTGAGGACACTTCAATATGTAGTATGGAGCAAACTCAAGTTGAGACAGAAAATAGTTCAGAAAATGATCTGTTGTTAATTAGTACTAACAATTTTAAATTTAGCTTCGTTGATGAGAAAGAAATTGATTACATTTTAAACCACCTAAAAAATTCTTTTAGTACAGGATATGATGGTATTCCTGTGGTAGGTACTCCTAAAAAAAGCAAGATTCGTATTACTTAAACCAATCACTCACGTCATTAATTCTTCATTAATTTCTGGTATTTTTCCTGATAAACTTAAAGTAGCAAAATTAAAACCGCTTTTCAAAAAAGGGGACAAGTACTTAGTTTCAAACTACAGACCAATAGCATTGCTTCCCGCTATTTCTAAAGTTTATGAAAAAGTAATCTATAATCAACTAGTAAATTTTTTTGAAAAGAATTGCCTTTTTTGAAGAATGTCAACATGGTTTCCGCAGTGGTAGATCTGTAATAACAGCTGCCACAAAGTTTGTTGAATCTATTATTGATAGTTTGGACAGTAAAAATTGAAAGTGGTAGGATTATTTATGGATTTAAGTAAAGCCTTTGATTCAATATCACATGACCTTTTACTTTCAAAGCTAAGCAAATTAGGGATAAAGAACAATGCATTAAAGTTACTGAAGTCTTACCTTTCCAACAGAAAACAGTTTGTAGAATTAATTCACCAAAACAACAAAAACTATAAAATTCATTACCGATCCTCTATTAGAGATGTGAAATTTGGAGTGCCTCAGGGGTCCATCTTAGGCCCTTTATTATTCATTTGTTACTTTAGAGACTTTCCCCAACTCAGTGACTTGAGTGAACTTTGCCTATATGCCGATGATACTAATTTGAAAATCACTGCAAAATCAAATGATGAAATTGAACTTAAGGCAAATTCCGATATAGCAGTTTTAAATAATTTTTTTTATTCTAATAATTTGCTTCTTAATCTAGATAAGACAAATTTTATTAGTTTTCAAACTCGAGAATTAGGGGATCAAAATAAACCAATCATCAGACTCGAGAACACAGAAATTCTAAGTATGGACAACATGAAATTCTTGGGATTGGTAATTGATAAAAATCTGAAATGGAACAGTCACGTTGAAAAGTTACTTGCCAAAATCACATCAGGATTATTTGCTTTATCTAGATTGAAACCCTTTTGTGAAAAACAAACTTTAAAAGTTATATATTTTTCATATATCCACTCAAGTATATCTTTTGGGATTTCACTTTATGGTGCAACTAGTGATTACAATTTGAATTCTATTCTAAAAAAGCAAATGAAAGCTATTAGAATTATCTGCAATTTAGATTTTGAAACTTCTGTTAATAAAGAACATTTTAAATCGGAAAATATAATGACAATTTACGGAATGTACGTTTATGAAACAATTTTATCAGTAAAGGACAGACTTCATGATTTGGAACGAGTTGGGGATAGTCATAATTATTTCACCAGAAATCGGGAAAACCTTGCAATTGGCCACCATAGTCTAAAACTTTTTGAGAAAAAACCCATGTATGCGGGATCAAAATTTTAAAATAATCTCCCAATTGAAATTAAATCAGAGACTTCCAAAACAATATTTAAAAATAAATTAAAGAGATTTCTCATCAGCAAGGCTATTTTTTCTTTTGAAGAGTTGAATAGTCTTTGAAGTCAAAAACAAATTCAATTTATGTATTTTTTGTTTAGACTTAAAAAAAAAATAAGTTTGTGAAATTTTGTTTTTATTTTATTTTGTTAGAAATGTATTTAATAACTATTAGGCCTAAGCAACTGTTGACACTATTCAATGTATTATGTACAGGAAATGAATAAAGTGGTAAAAAAAAAAAAAAAAAAATCATTACATTAATTGGAATATTTCTCCTGGTCCCTACTAAATAATACAAAAATCAATGCTAAATAATCGTAAAACCGGACATGCAATTTCCGATAAACAACTGTGTATCATTGGTTTTTGTTTTGCGATTGGAATCCCCTTTCCCAGCCCTTTAGGGAAGTGGTGCAAGTCTAAAAAATATAGCTTCAAGGTTGCACCCATCCCTTCCCCCGCCCACTTGACTCACTGTTGGCACGCACACGTTTCGAGGTCATAGCCCAACCCCAAAATTATAACGAAATAAATACAGTAATTTGTAAACATATTTCATTTGTATTTTATTTAGCCTGAAATCAGCCGTAAGGAAACGCATTAATATAAAAAGTGTTAAAAGTAAGATAAAATATATTTTTTATCACGGTTACGATTTTTAACCCTCCGAGTGTCCATAGTTTAGGCCTTAATGTCCACCTATTTTTGGCGCATTTGCAAGGTTTTATTAAAACGGATCTGAGAAGCTTAAAACAATGTTAATTCTAATGTTCTATATACCATTTTGTTTGGAAAATCATGGGCTTCAATATTATATATAAAACATAAGGAACATTAAAAAAAAAAAAAATTTTAGGTAAAAAAAAATATAATTTTGAAAATAAAAAAAAAAATAATAAGTTCGCGCTCAATGAAATTGTATAAATTATAGGCCTATAAATATTTGAAAATAGCCACTTTGTTCTAAATTTTATGAGGATTACAAATATATAATAATATAAGGAAGTAGATTTGCAAATAAATAAGTTATGGGCAAAAAACTGATTTCAGTATATAGCGTTTAGCTAAGAATGCATAGCCTAACCATAGCTAGGAATCTGGCTGATAATTTACATCAATATCACTACCGGTACCTACTTCTTCAGGATCATCAACCAGCACTTCAAAACCACTTAAATCTTCTTATAGGCCTAATGCACCACGTATATCACTACTTTTGATTTTTAACACTAAAAAAATGATAAACGTAATAAAACACATCAGTCATCGGTCCGGGGGAACCTAGCTGTTTACAAATACACGCACGTCAGCTGTCTGCTACAATATTTTCGGAACTAAAATGAATAGCGCTTAGAGACAGACCTCTGGAGAAAGCTTAGAATATTACGGAAAGAACGATACCTAACTCGATCCAGTTCAATCCGATTCAGTCAGTCATAGAGCCTTCGCCGTAAACGATGTTTGTGCGTCTTAAACTAGACGCGTGACCCTACACAAAGTGTGTTGTGCGTCGATTTTTTGACGCGTGACCCTCTGAGGGCTAAGGAATTCGTAAATAAACAGATAACATATTAATTTTCTTAATTTGTTATTGTAGGAAAAGAATAAATAGAAATAAATAATGAACTATTACAGTTAAGGAAAGAAAAAAGATGCCTCTATATTACAGCTGTGCGGTACGAGATCTCGGGGTCTCGTACAATGACAACATATTTACTTCCTGGGCTGGCTGAAGATAGTCAACATTGTAGCCTACTGGTTCACTTAAACAAACACTCAGCGCTCTCTCGTCTTTCTTTGCAAGGTTATGATTCGCAAAAGATTGCGCAACGTAATCTCGGGGTCTCGTATCGCACCTGGGTAATCATAGCGGACGAGACCTATAGATCTCGTAACGCACCATTGGAAAATATACAACGCAGTGAACGTGTAGTCTAGAACTTAGCCAAATCCCGAGCTCAGCAACCGGCCCTAAATGACAGTGTATAGGCTTAGGCCTAAGTTAACAGCCTATAGTTCTCAAAGCCCTTACAGGTTAGACTGCTTACCTCCTAATTGAAAGTCCATTGAATTTGAAAGATGTCAAAATAAACTTCTTAGCAGATGACAAATCACTCATAATTACCAGTTGTAATTCCAATAGACCTAGGCCTAGGCCTAGTTCACTCTTAGCTTGACCAACAGGTTTACCAGTATGTAACTTACTCTATAATAACAGTTAAATCATACGAATAAATTTTTCGATTCGTCACTACGTTTCTTATTATAAACTTAAGAAACTTTTGAAGCAGGTCTTGACTGACTTTTCTTAGAGCCTACTTCGTTGTCAGTAGTCAGTCAGTGGTCACTTTGTTTTTGTCACTCCGACTCGACAATCGACATCACCATCAATCAATAGTCATAACATTCTTCAACTTCTGTAATCTGTTCTGCTTTCTGCTGAGTTCTGTCTGCTGAGTGCTGCTCTGCTCTGCAGTCTGCACAATTTTCCCGCCTAAACCAACGACCTTCAAACACATACGATTCTAGTTCTGAGCACACCACTGAGCTAAAATTATAACTGGAGGTAGCTGGTTATAGCTGGAGGTGCCATGGCAGAAGTCTGTCAAAAGCGAGTCGCTGATTTTGTTAGGTTGGTATAGCAGTAAGTTTTCTTACCATAGCAATAACATGGCTTCTTATAACTAGGTTGGTATAGCAGTGAGTATTTTTGTCATACTTGAATACTTTTAATACTTTAATAATTTTCTTTGAAATGGCGACCATACAAAGTAGGTATTTTAAGCCAAGTATAATAATAGTTATAGCAATAATATGGCTTCTTATGACACCAGACTCACGCAAACATGGCGGCTGGCGACACGCATCTTTGACATTCAGTGCTACCTCCAGTTAGAATTATAGCTCAGTGGAGCACACCTATGTTTTTTCCTTCCACCATGGTTCTAACCTAATGATTCCGATTGAAGATTGTTTTTGATTTTTTAAATTGCATGGATATTATATCATAGGGCCATTGATTAAGCACCTCTATAGACTAACCAACACAAGGGGAGGGAAGTATATTCCATATATATATATATATATATATATATATATATATATATATATATATATATATATATATATCAACTATAGTGTGTATAGTGTATAAAGTGTGTGTGTCCGTTTACAAGATAAATCGTCATTTTGGTATGATTTTGATGATATTTAGCTTGAAAGTGCTAGACCTAGATAAATATGAATGTGTTTGCGAACCAGCGATAACGTGCAAGGCAACTCCAGGCTACGGCCTGGTAGAATTGGCAACGTCGCAAGTAGGGTTGTTTAGTGTCAGACGTCCCATAAGATAACATGACAGACAGGTGACACATGGCCCCCTTTAACGACAGGCCGCGGCCTGGTAGAATTGGCAACGTCGCAAGTGGTGTTATGTTTAGTGACATACGTCCCATACGATAATAACTTGGCAGACAGGTGACATCAGCTCATTAATTCGCACTTTATTGATTTAAATTTAAATTTATGAACATACATTTATAAAAATATTGAAAATAAAACATACAGAATTGAAAACCGAAACAATATGAATAAAACCCCTATATCTGTACATTTTAAGCGAAGTTAATATGTTCATATTCCAGTAACCAATCTTTCGTAAATACAAAAATACCATTCTGCTTAATAAAAAAAAAAAAACAAAAAAAAAAAAAAAAAACAGCTATTACAACCCTACTTGCGACGTTACCACTTCAAAGGCCGCGGCCTGGAGTTATAAAGGCGGCAGTGTATCGTGCCATTGCAACGGAGTGGATATGGGTGTTTGAAGTTTTTCAAATTTAAATTTCGGATCTCATCCGCAAACATATGGAAATATTAACCTTTCATTACAGTTATAGTGTGGTCGTGTGAACTAAAAAGCCACACACTATTGTATGTAAACGCATTACTGTAAAATAATTATCAAAGGTTTAAGAATCAAGAAAATTTGCCATTAAATAACAGAGTGTTACAATAGGCATAGTCAGTGTAAAAATACATCACAGTTAGCCTATAATACAGTCAGTCTTAGACTCTAAAAATTCTTGTACTGTGTAGAAAGCATTATTTTCCAACCATTTTGAACATCCATCAACCATTTTCAACATAAGAAGATTCAAATTAAGGGGAAAACAGACTAACCTTGCGAAAGTCAATTTTTCAGGAGAGCCAAAAGAAGGTTTTTCAGGAACTAATTGCCAGCCCATTGCTTTAAAAATTGAATGGAGGTTGCCCCCTGCCTACGCTCATTTGTGGGTTGTCCTGTTTTCCCCCCGGATTACGTTTGTTTAAAAGGTAATTTACTCGTATAAAGAGCCCGTTTTGTCAATTTTGAATTTGGCAAAGTGTTTAGACGATTTTAAAAATGTATTCAAAACCGTTCATAAAATGTTGCCTTTTTTGAGGAGTAGCCCTTTTTCCCTTTGGACTCTAATAAGCTTATGCTTCTTTTAGTAGTTTAAAACAACACAGTTGTTGGTAGGCCTATTTATGGCTCTTAACATATTTGTGCAATATAATATTAGGTTTAACAATTAAGATTACCTCTATTTCTTATAATTATCTTGTATCACAATCATGAACTATGAATACTGTTGATTAAAAAGACAATGTTACATTTAACAAAAAAAAATTACTGTGAATGTACAGGTAAGTGTCATTATATTAAATTGTGGGAAAATTGTTCTACATGAATATGGATTCTAGCCCAGCTATAACTCTAAGTGCCTTCTTCTGCCATATGAAAGCATCTACAGCAGAGGGTTAATTCCCCCAGAACCGTATTCCATACAACAGATGAGTGTGCAATGGACCAAAATAGGCGAAACGGCACACGGAAGATTTCTCAGGTGCCGTTTGACGTCACTAACTGCTGACGTCACTTTGAAGGAACACCAATACCGCAACGATACGGTTTTGGGCCATCAGCCTCGGTGGTGCAGAGGATAGCGATGCGGGCTGATATTCCGAATGTTCCGGGTTCGAATCCCGCCGGGATTATTAAAATTCGACAAGAGTAGCCTATATTTAACCTATGCTATTGCCTTCCTTAAACTGATATTACGGATCATTTCAGTTTTTGAATTATGGCAGCACTGTTCTGCTACTGTCAGCCTAAGCACTCACTCAGCCTCAGCCAGCTTCAGTCAGTCTTCACTCTTCAGTTCGAGTTCAGTCTAGTTAAAGGCGGCCGTGGTTCAGTGTTCAGTCTCAGTCTAGTCTCAGTCTCATTCTCAGTGTCTCAGTACTCAGTGAGCTTCAGCTCAGCAGCAGCAGCAGGTCAGGTTGGTGTGGTTGAGGTTGAATTGAAACACACGGTGATGGTGATACGAACACCAAAAAAGGTCGAAGGCAAAGGTGATTACAAGAATTAATATGGAGAAGAACCTCTGCGTTCTTTTAAGTTATTAAATTGACTTTGTAAAATGGACTTAAATTCTTGTGCTTATTGTGGTAAAGTTGGCAGTTTATCAAGGTGTTCCAGGTGTAAGTGTGTATTTTATTGTTCGAAAGAGCATCAGACTCAGGATTGGAAGAAACACAAACTACATTGTGGTGACAGATCTAAGCCCTCGACCGATTTTGTTAATTCAGTTGCCAATAATGATGCAGGAAAGAATGCAACTACATCTTCAAGTTGTGTATCTTCTGAGGGGAAGAAAAATAAACACACTAGTCGTTCACAGAAAAAGTTAAGTGTGAAAAATACTGTTCGCAACGTAAGTCCTATCAATTATGATGAAGGTAGTTTTGAAGAAGAGATTACTAATGCCAGAACGGAGGACTTAAATCCAACTTTGAAATTATTAAAACCTGGTATAAACAATTCTCCTTCATCTAGCAACTTAGTTAACAACACATTAGGGCTAAATAATCAAATGTCAACTTTGGGTAGTGTGCAAGCCAAAGACCAGTCCATCTTAGGCATTCAAGGAAAACCTACTCCAGATGTGTCTGATATTAGGCTTGATGGTTTACCACCATTTCACCATCGTAATGGATGTGTTGAACCAGATATTATTGAGTTAGTATGTAGAAATGTCATCAAAGATATGGATACATATGGCGTATGTGTAGTGGACAATTTCCTGGGTCCTGAAAGAGGTATGGCAGTATTAGAAGAAGTTACTAACATGTATCAAGCTGGTGTTTTTAAGGATGGAAAACTTGTTAGCAGTGTAAAAGAAAAGGATCCTAAAACCATACGTGGAGATCAAATCACATGGATTAGTGGAAAAGAATCATTCTGTAGAAATATTGGTCTTTTAATCAGTGAAGTAGATGCTGTTATTATGAGAGCCAATAAGATGGCAGAGAACGGGAAACTTGGGAAATATAAGATTAATGGAAGAACAAAGGTAGGCCTAGGCTGATAAGAATTCTGCATAGGTACGTCTTAGATTGAATATTGACTAACCTAGGCTTAGGTCTAGTTAGAACTAAACGGATAGGTATGCCTATAATTAATGGGATTTTTAAATAGGGTAACTTAATAGTGTCATGAGGTTGTGCAGAATTACATCTGGATCCCCAATGTACAGTTTTTTTCCGTCACATCTTAATTGCCAGTAGGTTCGTGGCACTGGCACTGGTCTCTGTCACCGGTCACTGTTTTGTTATTTTGAAGTAGGCTATAGCCGCTACGCTAGGCTCGTGGCACTGGTGCTGGTCACTGCCACCCATTGACCTGTGTGAACCTGGCAATAACTCAGTAATAAGTAGTGCACGCGCTTGATAAAATCTATTGCTGGGTGTTTTGCGGAATAATATGGCTGAGTACCTATATACCAATAATGTCAACAGATAAGATTACACTTTAACGAACACGATAGTCTCAAGGTTATCCTGGCAAAAAAGTTAGTGAAAAAAAGGGAGGTTAAAGTCAGCAATAAGTAGTGCGGGCACCTGATAAAATCTATTGCTGGGCGTTTTGCGGAAAAATACGGCCGAGTACCTATATACCAATAATGTAAACAGATAGAGGACACTTTAACGGACACGACAGTATCAAGGTTATATAGGCCTACCTGGCAAAAAAGTACAGTAATAGATTTTATCAGACGCGCGCACTACTTATTGCTGACTTTAACCCCCTTTTTTCACTACCTTATTACCTTATTACCACCTTATTACTACCTTATTACTAACTTTTGACAAAGTCACCGGTACGAAAATATAGAACACCACTTAAAGTAGGCTAGGTATCTTCTAGGGGAGAATGACGACGAAAAATCTGTTCAGTGCTCTAACTACGTTCATCTTGCCTATTGTCCTCATCAAGAACGATGGCAGAGAAGTGACTGGGCTGCGAAATTTGTGCTTGTTGATTCTTGATATTGTAGGCCTAGGAACAATAAATGAAGATGAGGTAGGGCCTACAGTAGACTCCCTCTTATCCGGACACCTTTTAACCGGACATCGGTTTAACCGGACTACACTCCGCGGAAATGACTTATGTCTTTAACAAGTTCACTGCGTTGCATATTTTCCACCATTATTCCAATGGTGCGTTACGAGATATAGGTCTCGTCCGCTATGATTACGCAGGTGCGATACGAGACGCCGAGATTACGTTGCGCAGTAATCTTTTGCGCATCATAACCTCGTAAAGAAAGGCAAGAGAGCGCTGAGTGTTTGTTTATCTGAACCAGTACAATGTTGACAATCTTCAGCCAGCCCAGGAAGTAAATATGACGTCATTGTACGAGACCCCGAGATCTCGTACCGCACAGCTGTAATAGTTCATTGTTTATTTGTATTTATTCTTTTCCTACAATAACAAATTAAGAAAAATATATGTTACCTGTTTATTTACGAATTCCCTATAATCGTAATCGTTATAAAAAATATATTTTATCTTTCTTTTGTCACTTTTTATATTAATGCGTTTCCTTACGGCTGATTTCAGGCTAAATAAAATACAAATGAAATATGTTTACAAATTACTGTATTTATTTCGTTATAATTTTGGGGTTGGGCTATGACCTCGCAAATGAGTGCATGCCAACAGTGAGTCAAGTGGGCGGGGGGAAGGGATGGGTGCAACCTTGAAGCTATATTTAGACTTGCACCACTTCCCTAAAGGGCTGGGAAAGGGATCCCAATCGCAAAACAAAAACTAATGATACAAAGTTGTTTATCGGAAATTTCTTGTCCGGTTTGACGATTATTTAGCATTGATTTTTGTATGATTTAGTAGGGACAAGGAGAAATATTCGAATTAATGTAAATGATTTGCTTGTTTACATCAAAATACAACATTGCACAATCGTGATATTTTAGGTCATTTACCAGTGACCTTTATTACGCATCCGTTAGTGCTAATAACAGTATAAAAACGCCATTATTCTTTCTCTTTGATCTTGAATTATTTCTTTGGTTTCCTTCTTTCATCCAAGCATTCAACAAAGGTTACCATGGTTACTAATCACCCCATTAGCCTCAAGTAGTGCTTGGAACAACTACTTTTGATACGAGACCCAGGGGTCTCGTATCGTAATTAAGTAAAAGTTTATTACTTCAGTGCGTTACGAGATCTATTTATCTCGTTCATTTCATAGTTACTAGTTGATACATCAAGAAAAATGCATTATATATGTACAAGTTTAATTTCTTTACGATAACTGTACGCCGAAATATCGATGTCGTAATTTTTGGGAAGAAGCCAAATTATGGGTCCCGCACTACGGGCTAGGTACGATACGAGACCTCGGGATCTCGTAGCGCAGTGAACGTGTTAACCGGACAATTTTTATCAGCACATTGGTTTAACTGGACTAGATCGGCAGGATGTGAGCGGTAATAAAACGACTGATCTCGTGGGAAAGATTTAGACCAGTGATCACGTACGTCTAAATACAATGCTCTCCTAAATTTATGTCGATTATCACAGTAAACGGTCCGTTTAAACAAGTTTTTGGGGACGTTGGTTTAACCGGAAAACCTGTTATCCGGACTGGCCTCGGCCCCGAGGAGTCCGGATAAGAGGGAGTCTACTGTAATTAGAACATAGTATTCTAAGCTATGTAGTGAAGTGTGAGAAATGTGGTTAGGAATGTTTTTCTCAATTGCTAAACGTTATTTTTCCGGTGCAACCGTGTTGTAAGCATTCATCTGAAGAAACAGAAGCCTACTAGCCTACGAGGTTCTTATTCCAAAGTTTTATTTACCTCCTGAATCTTATTAACGTACCATCATTATTAACGCAAAAGAATATTTCTAGCTGATATAAACTTATTATACCTAATTTGGACATCTGTTAATCAGCAATTTGGCATCACTTCGCTTCTAACATAGAGAACTTAAGTGAAGGTGAAGTGAAGCAAGTTGATAAATGATGAGAAGATTCAAGAACATCCTATCGTTGATTAAAGAATAGAAAATTATCATTGACTATAAACTTCTAATGGAACTCATTAGTCAATTAATTTCCTTTAAAGAAAATTTCATCTCATTACGCGGGTATAAATGGGCTGTCTGACCACTTACAACTAGTCCTTATTGAGGCATGTTAGGATGGGAGGTAGTTTTTTACGTTGATTCGGGGCTGTATTAATTGTTTTGAAGTTAGGTTAACTTAGATTAGGAAGGTAAAGTTTAGGTTAAAAAGAACTGAGTTGTTTGTTAGTTTATGTTATCCCCAGACTACTTTTGTCTAATTGTCTAACGCTGGGTTAAGACACTGCTAAATATACTATTTCAAGAATGCTTGCACTAAACTTTTTTTAGTTGAGTGCACCATGTTTTAGGTCTTTTTTCGCTTAAAATAATTTCCCTCAGATCAGGATTTCCCCCGTCCAAAAACCCCAATTCCCACCAGTCCCCTAGATGGTAAGGGGTTAGGATGGGTTAACTATTTCCCTCAATTTATTTTAGTCGCACAGTGGCGTAGCCAGGGGGGGGGGCGAGGGGTCTGTACCACCCCCCCTGAAATGTAAGAAATAAATTTTATTTTTTGTATTAAAAATTGTAAGAAACATAAACATGTGTTATAGGCCTACTGCTTGTAATTGCAATACCAACGATCAACTCAGCTGCTTTAATAGTATAGTCTGGTGTCCACATACAGTAATACTTTTCAACGAGTATACTAGATGTTTCCCACTGTTTCTTAATTGGTAATGACACACTGGACTAGAAACTAGAAATACTGTAGAAGGCAGACGTTAGAATTCGGTCGTGCGAGAGAGCTCGGGTGGGTTCGGCCTACTCAGAGTCGGAGGAGAGACATTTCGGTCAAAGCCATGACACGTCGAGTTGACCTTGGGCCTCCTACACAATGACGGTCGACAACACACACAAACACCACAATACACTTGCACTAGACATAAAAAATTTTAGGGCCTAATGATATAAAACAGGAAAACTCCTTTACTCTCGAGGAGGCGCTTCACCAGTAAAACAGGAGCGGGCGCATGCGGAGATATATTCCGCAACACTACCTAAATAGCATAAACTTTACCCATTTTACTTGTTGTTATAACAAAATATTGTAAATGTTGAATAACCTAATCAGAAACCTTATTTCTTTGTTAATAACATTATTTGTTTAACTTAATATGAGTAATTTTCAAATAAACATATCGAGCAATTATCTAGTATATGTTAAAGGTATGTATTGAGAGAGGGCGCGTGGGTAGTTTTGTTCCACAATAATGTAATTTTACATATGTACATGCAAACAAAATTTGTTTTTATAATAAATAGGCTACAAATGAAATAATACATTTAAACGTGTTTATAATTTTGTATGTATAAAATATGCACGCAGTTTGACAAGAGCGCATGAGGAAATAAACTCTGCGCTAAGGACTTACACGATAGGGCGCACGCGGAGTAAACCTCCGCAAACTGACACCTCGTCACTGAATTGCAACTGACAACAAAATGAGGAGGAATTCCAGGGTAAAAATAGCTTAGGGGCATTCCTGGGATGAGGTGCGTTCGAAGTGTAGAGCCGGACACGACTGCTGACACCCATTATGCATATTTATATTAACAAAAACTACAAGTGTGGAGGAAAACTCCGCAAGCGCCCGCTCGAGGGTTAAAAAGGGCTACTGTAATATGTTTTAATAGTGAGCAAAATACGTTTATGAAGGGTTCAAAATTTATGAACAGATAAGTTTGATTGATGTTGATACGTAGGTAGGCCAATTGAAAATAGAAAATTTTATATATAAGTTAATATACATTAAAACTATATACGGTACACATGAATGAGCAACGTTTACTACTTCAACAATTCAAAGCTACGCTATGTGTCTCTAATGAGGTGGCTAAATCGTGGCAAAAAACAAAAAATTTAAAATTAAAATTAGGCTAATTTGAATTTTATTTTAAAAAAGAGTTGTAAACCAAAATAAAATAATCACACCTATAGTGTAATTATATTGAAAATCATACAAATTGACGGCAATAATCGATAATTTAAATAAACAAAAATATATCAATACGCCTACTTCTAATCCAAATATATTATGGTAGCCTACCATGCTACCATACCAGCTATGCCTTTACTGGTAGGCCCTACTACAAAGCAATTGAAACATTTGGTCAGAGTTTGTTTAAATAATGAATGCAAGAAGTAAGGTTTCAAATATTTGTATTTTTTGTGTAAAAAATAGGTGTTGTAGGCCTATATAAAAATATATTAAAATAGTTATATTTTAAGAATGTTTTGCGAGATAGAACTTGTTTCTTATTTGGCCTTAAATTGCTCTATTTTAAGCCCAAATGTTTAAATTCTTCACAATTCTATACCATATCCCCCGGAGGACCCTCCCCCTGAACCCCCTGGAGGACCCCCCCCCCCCTGAACTGAAATCCTGTCTTCGCCACTGTAGTCGCAATACATTAAGTAGTCGCTGTGATGTGTAATACATTTTAGCTCAAATTTGTGGGTATTCTAGTCAAAATTACTTAAAAATCTCATGTGCCCAAATCTAGAAATTTACCAAACTTTTAACTTAAAATGTTTGTAAAAATAACCTATTAAGTTATACCGGTAATTAAAATCCATGTCTTATCCCCTGAGCTGTGATATAACTTTTTTTTTTTTAAAGAGGTTGGCGGCCTCTTTTAACCTTGCATTTGCCCGTCCACATAGACTACAGATCTGTGCGTGGAACGTATCCAGCAAACCAAGGGGTGAGCCGGTACAGTACAAAGGTGAACTGTACTGATAAAAGTTAGTGGCAGTGACCAGGATCCGAACCCACGACACTACTGTCTTGGGCCCGAAGTCCGCGACGCTACCGACTGAGCCACCGACTCACCATTATAATTTTACCTTTGTCTACACAGTCAATATAGAAGTTAACTTGCGTTATGGCCGCTTCGCAATGCCATTACAATGCCATCATCAGATGTAGAAAATTCAGCTGAAGTAGCGTCGTCATTGTTGAAACACACAACCCTAACTACATTTAACAAATTATACACAAATAAAATTAGACAGGCCTTTTGCACACAGGGTAGGGCCTACCGGTTGACATTGCCACAATCTGAACTTACTTAGATGCTGACACCACTAATTTAATTTGTGTACTATATAGGCCTATTTGTTAAATGTAGCCGAATTTGTGTTGTTTGTTACGACTATGACAACACTACTTCAGCTGAATTTTCTATGTCTGATGATAGAACCATTGTAATAACAAAATGGCCAGAACGCAAGTTATAACAGATTGAGCTAGGCCTATGGATAAAGGTAAAATCTATGTTTAGTTTAATTAAGTTATAAGCTAGGGTCTAACATAAGGTTTATCTTAGTTCTCTTGATAAACTTTGTGGCTGAACTTTTATAAGACCAACACCTTAAAATTGTTACTAGCCTATAGTATATTTCTATAGGTCTATCAATCAAACAGGTAGTTCCACAGAGAAAATGTGATATATTTTCAGATTTAAAAAATATCGATATGTAAGTTGGTAGAGTCTAGGATTTTTATTTAATTTATTAGCAGTTACCCTGCACGCGTTGCTGCGCTTAACAACTAATTTATTATTTTGAATGTTAATTTGTTGTTTACGATAAATAATAAAATAATGTATACCAAAAACAAAAATGTGTAAACAGATCATAATTCAATCAAGTTTTGTCGGAAGGATTCCTAAGTTAAAATAAAATTAATTAATCTACAATTTTAAAGTTTCTTTGAGTGGTTCGGATAATGGTTTGGGCAAGTCCAAGTTTTGGCGGTGACTAACACCACCAAACAAATGATTGAAGTGGAGGAAGGTTTGTGGAGAGCAAAGGTTGTTTACATTTCGACGCAAAACAAACTATAGGCCTTCCACAACACGACAACATGTTTACAACCAAAAGCTTAATGATTTACAACAATTTGACCTGTAAAAGCCAACGGACGTTGCTGCCATTTTGAAAATACTTCACCGTAGGTACTGTAACAGAACTACTACCTATACATAAACTTTTAATTACATCTAGCCTACCATAGTTATCAATAAATTCTATATTCTAATACAAGCTATGTCTGTCTGTCTGTCAGTAATATATATCTTGAAATCCAGCAGAAGGATTTTGTCTAAATTTTGGAATTAGAGACTTTCCGATACATTCGATACATGGGAAAAAAGTGTCGATCAAATAATGATTAATTTACTTAGCTATATCTCACCAAAACTTAATCCCCGAAGTACTGAGGCATTCCAAGTAAACTAATTATATCTGGGGGTTTTAATGAAAAAAGACAGAATCTCAATTTATTTAAAAGTAGGCCTAATAGTCTAAAGTGAAAAATTGTTGTCACAAGCCATTTTAAAACTAAAGTAATATGATTTTTATAATATTTATTCCCAATTTAAATAACATTAGATTTAAAGAGTGCTTAGGTTTGCTGCTACGGGGAAGGTAAAAAGTGTTTTTTGACCATATGTCAATAGTATTGGATGAAATAAATAAATTTGCCTAATTTTATCAATCAAACAGGTAGTTCCACAGAGAACCTGTGATATATTATCGGATTTTAAAAATATCGATATGTAAGTTGGTAGGGTCAAGGACGAAAGATTTTTATTGAATTTACTAGTGGCTTGTAGGGACATAAGTCCCTAAAAAGCTCAAATGTAAAACAACTTTTTGCAATACCGGTATTTAAACAAACTCAGAATAACATTATCTATGTGTCAGAATAGGCATCCCTACACCATATCTTTTGTGTAAAAACCAGTTTGTTGTTCTTCTTTGTTTGCTTTTGTTGATGTCATTTTCAATAAATAATTTGAATCACTCCAGTGGTTTAACATGAAAAGGCAGCCAACATATCATTGTTTGTGAATAAATACTGGTTTACTAAGGTAGCTTTGGTCTTGTGGTTAATGAGGATAAATAAAAGCTTCCCTGTTTGGAATTTAAAAAATTCATTGGAGGTTCGCCTTCAGATGAATTGAAGACGCCTGCAATTTCATCTGCAGTAGGCTTATTATACCTACGACGATCCATATTTATCCTGTCTACAAACCTAAGTTCTAATTCACTGTCACCTTGTACAACCATTTCTTCCGAAGCTCTTTTGTAAATTTATGCAAATGGATTTTCTAATGGAATTTCAGCTAGTTTTGACAATATTTCAGGTTTTAAGTCACTATTTTCTTGACGCCTTTGACGAATTTCTGTTGCTGTTGATGTGTCAATAATGTACAATTGGCCATACACGGGGTCTTCATCATGTTGAGGCAGCAAATCTGAGATTGAACGATAAATCTGTCCTTGAATTTTGAAACAGTATGGTCCTTTTCCTGGAATATCTTTCTTACTGGCTGAAAAATAAGCAAAAGCCATCGCACTGTTGCATTGTCGAATGAATTTATACAGTTGTGGGCTCTCTTCAAACAAACTTTTAAGTTCTACATTAGTTTTTGACTGAGGAAGGTTAATAAGTCCGTTATGGCAACATGTCATAAAATGATTATTCGTTAGTTCTTCTCTAAAATGAAGAGCACTACATTGAATGCACTCTTGGTCCAGTAATCCTGCATCATGAATATTTACATTTCTCTCGTCTACCATGGGTCTCCTAAAAAGGGGTTGTAACATATCTTGATTAAGTTCGTCATTATCTACTCTTGCTCTCCTACGCGCACTGTCATTCCTGTGAACAGTTCCCCGCCTTTGTGGTATTCCCCTGGCGTTCATATTAATTACAGTACTTATAATGAAAAGAATATATATCCAGCAGCCTACATACCAAAACGTCTTGAATCCCTGGTGATTTTATAAAAGTATGATCGAATATGATTACTCTACGTTGTATATTCACTGCACTAAAAAAATTTACTTACGAAGGAATGCAAATACACCATTTTAGAACCAATAACATTTATAGGTTAATTTAGTTGTATATATTTACACAACCTTAACCTTAAAATGTGTAGAAATATAAAGAAAACAACATCATTTAAAATAAACTTGAACATATGATTAAAAATAAAAACAAAACAGAAGTTAGATTTAATTTCGACTCTTTGATTATTTATACAGAATATTTATTCTATGTCGTTTATTCCTTTAACACGACAATAACGTAAAAGCATGAAAAAATGAAACTTGAGTATATGATTTAAATATAAACAAAGAATGCAGACGTTTTTCCGACTAATCTTCAATATTTCAGTTTTATTATAGTATACATTTCATAGTTGACTGGCTAAAAGTAAACCAAATGTGTGTATTGATCACTGTTTTCAAATCTGTGGCACAGCTGTTTAAATTTCAAAAGATGTAAACAAATTAAACCCCATGTTGTTTTAATGGGAAAAGTTTTATTCTGTTGCGAATTTATGGTAAAAAAATAAGAAAAATGAATAGTTTTCCCTCAAAATTCACGTCAAGACCTTTAAAATAAGACCCCTCCCATCCTTCTACGGCCATCCAGTCACTCACAATTTCTTTACAAAAGTTTGACTTACGGAATTATATATATAGATTAGCAGTTAATTTTAACAAATTTACAGGCAATGGTAGCATGTTATCCTGGTCACGGGTCTCACTATGTTAAACATGTGGACAACCCTCACCAAGATGGAAGATGTATTACAGCTATATATTATTTGAACACAGAATGGGACATCAAGGTAACTAGTCTTGTGTCTACAAATTCAATCAACAAAATCCTAGCCCATTAAAACTATTTTAATTTTTAACTTAATGAAGCAGTTTCTAATGAACTGAGTGAGTTTTTAATCACAGCATTGTTTTATTTTTGTTTTAAGGGTATATGTTTTAAGAGAACTTGTTTGGGAACTTCAATGTTGAGAGCAAATTGCAGGCACTTAGAGTGTGCATCTTCTGAAACTGCTGATTTTACAAAAATGTAAAAACTATGAACTGTTGAGATAATTAATCAATAGCAATATTTAGGGGTATACAAAGAATTGAAGATTTGAAATGTAATGTCTGCATAGTGTATACGGTGTAACTGTAGGTATTTTAAAAATGTTTTGCCTCTTTATTCATAAAGTTTTTTATGTTTAGGAGAATGGTGGCTTGCTTCGGATTTTCCCCGAAGGGTGGGATCAAGTTGCTGACATTGAACCATTGTTCGACCGCATATTATTTTTCTGGTCTGATAGGCGAAATCCACATGAAGTACAACCTGCTTACAGAACACGGTATATTTTATTTACTCGGTGATAATTAAAATTACATCAACACTGAGAAATTATAGAAATAATCTACTAAGCATGCACATATTAATGAAAATATGGATTTGAAAAAATAAAATATTAGTAGGATACTATGGAAAATATATATTTGTTTTAACAATTTAATTGATACAGCCCTGTAAAAATGCAGCATAGTAAAGTTGTATTTTTATTTACTAACCTAATTATAATTAAAATATTAGTCCTTGTAAAAATGAAATACATTTTATTAATTTATTTTGCACTATTTAGTTTTTTCCAAATTGTATTTACTTTTTACTAAGCCTATGACAAGTATGGTGTTTCTATAAAATGCTAACTTAGAACCTAAAATATCAAGAGGATCGATGCCATTTATTTAAAAGTTCTGCTCTGTCTTGCTACTGTATTAATACCAACAATCACAATCCCACATAGATTATTGAACTATTAAGATAACAAGAGGTTAAGTTGACTTGGGTTGGGAAGTTTGTTCAATGAGGCGCTATGTAATCTAACCAGTATCCCGGTTGCTCAAAACTGATGTGATATAAACTCTCATAATCCTTGTGTCACTTTTCCTCCACACATTTATGCATTGTTAAGTATTACATGTAAACTAAACTGTAGGTGCACATTGGAAAACTATAGGGAGTCGTCCCCTTTTTCAAATGTAGTTATTTTATTAAAATTGTAAATCTGTTGAAACTTAAACTTGTTTATTAAAATCTGTTATTTATCTCTCTGAATTCTAAATATTTTAAGTACATTTAAACTTGTTTCACAATTTAAGGCTTTTTGTGTTTTTATCCTCTAAAATCACACCAAGCTTGTTTTTTTTGCAAATTAAAATAAGGGAAACTTGGCACATTTGATCTGAAATATGTGTGAATAATAAGAGTAGGATTTATTTTGGCTTGAAAAAATATTGAAAATAAGCTAAGTCTATCAAAATAAAAAGGTAACAAATACCTGCAGACTGCCTATAGTGGTCCTTCATCATCTCAACAGGATAACATGTTTCAGTATTACTATACCATCATCAGATCCTTTATTTACAAAACTTGAATATTTCGATACATATTGTCACATCACGGTTTTTAACACAGTCACATAACATTGAATAAAACGAATGAACTATTTACAGTGTAGGCCTACGAATTGAAAGCGAGAGGCAAAAAAGAAGCAACGCATGCATTTCAAGTGTTGAGTCTCGACTGCAAAGCTGAAATATTAAGCTCAGAAAATTTGTTTTTCACTGATATTTGGTCTTCTAGATTTAATACAATTCTCAAAGCTTCCTTCTGAAATATCAAGATTGTATCTAATTTGCTTTTACTTGTACCACCATAAACAGCTAAACCATAAGATACGTGAGAGTGGATATGTGCGAAATAGTATTTAATTTTAAACTTTGATTGGAATTCTACTGTAGAGGTTTTGTGGATTCAATAGATTCTTTATGTATTGCCTGTTGTGGTACATGGTGGCACAGAATGCTCTTAGGGCCTATTCACACTGGGCCACCATGGTGGCGACACCGGTGGTGACACTGGTGGCCGGTCAAAATGCGCATGGACCACCAGCTCAGCCACCAGTGCAGCTGCAGCCACAAAGCTCACAGTTGGACGTCGAAGAGACAGGTGCAAAGCGTATATATTTCTTTGAAATTATGAAACACAAGAAAAAAACGTAGTTTTTTTGTTCATCCGTTTTTATGAGATTTTTTAAGTACCAGAGAGACTTTTTTCATTCACTACAAAGACCTTAGAAATAACCCTGTCACGTTTCACACTTACTCAAGAATGAGTGTTTTAAGTTTTGATGAGCTTCTGGGACGTCTGAAAGATAAAATATCTCTAGAAGAGAAACTGCTACTAACGTTGTGGAAAATTAAGTAAAAACATAGTTAATATACCATTTATTAATAACACTGTAATACCTTGACTCAATAACAAAAAAAAAAAAAACAGTTTTTTTTTGTTCAACCGTTTTTATGAGATTTAAGTATCAGAGAGACTTTTTTCATTCGTAGACCTTAGAAATAACCCTGTCACGTTTCACACTTACTCAAGAATGAGTGTTTTAAGTTTTGATGAGCTTAGATTTTGAGGAGTTTGAATGACGAACACATTGTACTGACGAAAAGATGTAAATTAAATAGAGTATACATTTTGTTATATCATTAAAATCGTTTCCCCATATTTATTACCTTAACAACTTCAAAAGATTAGTAAACTAGTATACTGAGTAATGGTAGTGACTGGTGGCGCTGCCAGTCGCTCCAATGTGAACAGTCCGATAAGAAAACATGGTGCGACGTGGTGGCGCCACCAGACTGGTGTCTTTGAAAATCGCAACCCCGAGCCATCACATTTCTGGTCGCGCGGCCAGACGCGCCACCAAAGCTCAGTCTGAAGATGTCCCATTTAAATCAATGCTAATGTAACGTACCCACCATGGTGTCGCCACCGGTGTCACCACTATGGTTGCCCAGTGTGAAGGGGACCTTAGTCAGTTTTTAATAATATTCTTTTCTCCTGTTCCAGATATGCTATAACGTTGTGGTATTTTGATGCTGAAGAGAGGGAAAACGCTTGCCGAAGGAACCAGCAAGAGAGTATGTGTTGTGTGCTTTCACATCCTCCCATGGTCACTAATCGTAGCTAACCTCATGGTACGCATCATCTATTATTGAGTGAATGTAGATGTTGAATTCTTTATAAAATTCATGTTTTAATATTGGTCATTATTATTAGGGGCATTTAATTTAGAAAATTCGTAGTCTTGAAGTGCTTAAAGCTCCACCATAACTTGTTTGTTTTTCAATAATCTTGTTGGAGATAAATTTCAAAATATTTCTATTTTCACTCAATAACCTAAATTACTAACACTTCATCATTGCAATTATTGTAACTAACCAGCTAATTTAATTTGATGGTAATGATTTGGGTTATAACATGCTTCTAAGGTTTGTTGAATTATATACTGATTTATATTTATATTTTAGTTTTATAATAGTTTGCTTAGCCTACTAAAGACAATTCTTTAACTTCATCAACTGTAAAGTACTTCTTGATTATCACATTCAAGAGTTGGTTGGGGTAAATAGCTCGATTCAGCCCAACCACTGGCAATATGTATACTTGTCACCATGTGAATAATATAATTAGTTAATGACAACAAAAAACAAAAGGGTTTTTTTAAACAAGGATATTTAAGTGCACTCCTGTAGATGATGAGAAAATGGAAAGAATTATTGGTTCACTTAAGAATAAAGTGTCTAAAGTCGAAAGTTTGCAGTTGAGGGAGGAGCCTATTTACCACGTGACATCGAAGGAGCCAATGAGGATAGTGCGGTGTTGCCAAATCGAATAATACCAGCTGATTTGAAAATATTGTTTAGGAATTTAATTAATGTCGTCAACGGGCGATATGGCAACTTCGCACTAGCCTTGTCTTCTGGTTGGCTGCCGCCAACTGCAAACTTTCGTGGTACCGACTGTAATGGTTATGATGATTTACCAACTAAATTATTAGAATGTGTAGGGAACCTTTTAGTAAAGCCACTTGTACATTTGGTGAATTCATCTTTTGTGTCTGGCTTATTTCCACATAAACTAAAAATTGCAAAGGTAATTCCTTTACATAAAAATACCCCTGCTGCAGCAAACCTGCAGACTAAGCACATTTTTAATTGGCTGATATGGTTTTCACTTAAATATATTTAAATAACACTAGAGGACCCATGCTGCTTCGCAGTGTTAAAATAAATATAATATCTGAGAAATAATCAAATTTATGATTTTTGATTGAGTAATACAGTATCTTCAGGCTGATTCAAATGATCAATACAGTAGCTCAAATAAAAGGCTACAATTTACTGATTACTTTGAGTCTAAAAATATAAAAATATATAAAAAAAAACATGAACAATACTGGAGCTATTGATTTTTAATCATAGACAATCCTTATGAAAAATAATTTTTATGTTGGTTGTTTACCTTGCTTGAAACTCGTCTGATTTGAATGGAATAACTAATAGCTTAAATGAAAGCCGGTATTTCAATTAAGGTTCTTAGACCTAAATATATAGTATTATATAATTATAACTGGAGAATAAATCTTGAATTGATGTAAGAATTCAAAAATTATTCAAATTATATTTTTAGTAGAGTAATACAGTAGGTAAGTATATACCGAAGCTTGATGTGAAATCTTTGCGTGCATGACTTCAATTGAAGACCTCAATCATGAAAATCAGTCGGGTAGAAGAGCCAAACGAACTCTGAAAAGAAAAACCAAATTTACCTCCCATAAGAAATGCGTGGGGAGCAAATTTCGTTTATGTATAAGCCAACTGGATTATATATAAATATATGCCGATGCTTGATGTGAAATCTGTGCGTGCTACCTTCAATTTGAGACCTCAATCATGGAAGTCGGTCAGATGGAAGAACCAAACAAACTCGGAAAAGAGAAACCAAATTTAACTCCCATAAGCAATACATAGGGAGCGATTTCGTTTACGTATACGCCGAGTGGGATCATAGATAAATATATGCCAATGTTTGATGGCAAATCTGTGCATGCACACCTTCAATTTGAGACCTCAATCATGAAAATCGATTGGGTAGAAGAGCCATTCGAACTCGGCAAAGAAAAACCAAATTTAACTCTCATAAGAAATGCATGGGGAGCAAATTTCGTTTACGAAAGAGCAGAGTGGGATTATAGATAAATTTATACCGATGCTTGATAGCAAATCTGTGCGTGCATACCTTCAATTTGAGACCTCAATCATGAAAATCGGTCGGGTAGAAGAGCCAAACGAACTCGGAAAAGAAAAACTAAATTTAACTCCCATAAGAAATACTGTACATGGAGAGCAAATTTTGTTTACGTATAAGTAGAGATGGGATTATAGATAAATGTATGCCGATGCTTGATGGTAAATCTGTACATGCATACCTTCAATTTGAGACCTCAATCATGAAAATTGGTCGGGTAGAAAGGCCAAAGGAACTCGGAAAAGAAAAACCACAAGTTTTAAATACCCAGGTATTTTAGATAACTAATTGAAGCAGTGATAAATTCACTAGATAAGGGTTTAAATTCAGCTGGAATCTTCATTGACATGTCCCAGGCATTTGATAATGTATACCACCATCAATTATTAATAACTGAACTTGATAATTTGGGTATTAAAGGAGTCACTCTCAATTGGTTTAAATCATACTTAAGAGGAAGGTTACCAATTTGTGGAAATATCAACTTCTAAATTCCATGTTGATGGCCCCTGGATTACTTTATATGACTATAGTATAATAATGGTACAATACCTCGTCAAGTAATCCAAATGTTGTTTGAGGTTAACAACCTACATGTTTCGCCGTAAATACGGCATCGTCAGGGTTACAAAAACAAAGACATCGATGTCACACGCACACAATAAATACACGAATACGAACATTTAATTACGGAAAGACAAAGTAAACATTTAATTGACATTGATAGGCCTATCACACGCACACGACACGGACGGTCCCGGCGACCTAAACCATAACATGAGTGAGATTGCTGACGGTCTTGAGGTGCTACATAAATGCAGTAAAGGTAGTAAACTTAACACGTTAGAGGAGTTTGAAATTTACAAATTGTACCATGACAACACCGCCAGTGGACATATCCTCAACGAAAAACTGCAGTTCCAGTCACACTCTATTTTCAATGTGCTAATTCACCAAAATAACCGGCTACCTGACCTTTGTCCTACTGATAACATGGACAACAACGAGGAAGGAGTCTGACACTGCAGTCTACTACCTGCGCCGGGACCGTCCGTGTCGTGTGCGTGTGATAGGCCTATCAATGTCAATTAAATGTTTACTTTGTCTTTCCGTAATTAAATGTTCGTATTCGTGTATTTATTGTGTGCGTGTGACATCGATGTCTTCGTTTTTGTAACCCTGATGATGCCGTATTTACGGCGAAACATGTAGGTTGTTAACCTCAAACAACATTTGGATTACTTGACGAGGTATTGTACCATTATTATAGTCATATCAACTTCATCAAAAAATAACATCATCCAAAAAACAAGATCTAATTTATTAAAGATCATCTGGTATTCCACAAGGATATATTCTTGGTCCTCTTTTATTCATATGTTACCTTTAAAATCTTCAGTATATATGCAGGTGATATTAATCTTAACACAACTGGGAAATCCCTAACTGATTTAGAAATGTCTGCTAAGTCAGAATTAAAAAGTCTGAATCAGTTAAAAATGTATTAAATCTGTTAAAATAGATCATAATTTAACACTTAATGTTAGTAAAACCAATGTAACATGTTCATTATTTTCAAAACAAAAAGAGACAAAAATGATAAAAGTATAAAGTTAGATATAAATAAAAATGCCATTGCTCAAAACTATTGGGTTTAATAAATAGATGAGAATTTAGGCTGGAATAAACATGTTGAGTATTTAATTAAAAAAATTAATTCTTGTATATTCGTCCTAAGAACAATGTCATATCTCTGTGAAGGAACAAGTCCGTAGAATGATATATCATGCAAAGATCTCATATTGAATCAAAACATTAGAATAAGTATTTATGGTTGGACAACAAAAAATAATTTAAAAATATTTTGAAAATACAACAAAAACAATCAGATTGATACATAAATGAAAATATGACCAGTCCGCCAAATCTTATTTATTTAAAGGGATGAACATTTTTACAGTTCACGCCATATATATTTTTGAAACAATTAAATATTTTTTCAATATTGCTGAGACTCAAGATGTGCATAATTATAATACAAGGGGTAACAGTTATTTAGTTAAGGAACAACCAAGACTTGAAATTTTTAAAAATAAACCTTTTTATATTGGAAACAATTTTTTTAGAAAACTTCCTAGCTTTTTTAAAAATGAAAATGACAAATCTAAATTTATGAAAAAACTGAATGCATTCTTACTAGACCTTGCTTTTTACAGTATAGAAGGATTTAATAATTTAAATTTTAAATAATGTGTAGTATTTTGTAATGTTTAACTGTTTCTTATTGTCAATTTAGGTAGTAAGTAACAGACCTGGGACACGTATAAAAATTTGTACTGTGAAATAAGACTTTTTGAATCATGATTTTGCCGCGATCCCGCAAGATGCAGTCACGTTTTCGTGACCGCGGAAGACAATGATGATTACTACACGGCCGCAGAAGATGTTCATGATCATGTCGAGATCGTGCTAGACAATGATCACGTTTTCGTGACAGCGGGAAACGACGATGATGTCCATACGGCCGCGGTGGATGATCATGATTTTGCCGGTATCGTGCTAGACGATGATCACGTTTTTGCTAGACGATAATGTATACATGGCCGCGGAAGATGTTCATGATTTTACCACGATTACGCCAGACGACGATCACGTTTTTGTGACCGCGCGAGATATTCATAATTTTCCGCGATCACACTAGAAGGTTATCATGTTTTCGTGACCACAGGAGACGATGATATCTATACAGGGTTGCCACCAGCCTTGAAAAGCGTGAATTATGCGTGAATTTAGGTGACCATGAAAAAGTGCGTGAATTATGCGTGAATTTCGCCATTGGACCATGAATTCTCAAAATCATTATTAATAATTCAGCCAAAACCCCTAA